CGGGGATTTTTTTACTGTGCCTATTCCTGAGCTTGTTGAACCTCCACAAGCTTTAGGGGGGCTTTCTCCTCTTCCTCACTGAACCGTGCAGGAGTTGCATCCCCCTCGCAGCTGTTTGGGGACTGTCGAAATCTCTGCTTCAATCCGAGGGAAGATTGTGCGTTTCCTTCCTCCTCCCGTCAGGCCACAATTGATGTGTTTGCAGACTGCACAGCAGCTAATTCATGCAGAGCAAAGTTATGTGCTGGGTCAGCAAAGCTCCTTCCCCCAAAAGCAACAAAAAAAAAAAATAAACCCGCAGCCCCATGGTGCCTGGCCGGGACTGGGGTAAATCGGCCTTGGGTTTAGGGAGAGGGAGAACCTTGGGCTGCAGCTCCTCTGGGAGATATGGGGTCAGTGATTGAGGAGTTGTTTGAGTGGGATTGTCCCACCTGGAGCTCTGGGATCCTGGAATAAGAAGGAGGAGGCCACTGAGATGTTCCCCTCCTGCCAGGGAATTAGGCTGGGAGAGCTGGGAATGTTCACCTGGAGAAAAGAYGGATCTGAGGAGACCTCAGAGCYCMTTCCAGGGCMTRAAGKGGYTCCAGGAGAGCGGGAGAGGGACTGGGGACAAGGAATGGAGGGATAGGACACAGGGAATGAGTTCCCACTGCCAGAGGGGRGGATTAGATGGGATTTTGGGAAGGAATTCCTCGCTGTGAGGGTGGTGAGGCTCTGGCACRGGATGCCCAGAGAAGCTGCTCCATCCTTAGAATTGTCCAGGCCCAGKCTTGGAACACTCTGGGACACTGGAAAGTGACCCTGCCAGTGGCAGAGGGTGGAACAGGATGATCTTTAAGGTCCCTTCTGATCTAAACCATTCCGGGATTTTGCGAAAATCCAAGCGCAGCGTGACACAGAGGATTTCGTGATTTCGTGATTTCGTGGCAGGGACTTGAGGAACGGCCCGAGCCGGGATCGCCCGGGTGCGAAACCAGGAAACATCTGCGCGGGTGGGTTTTGGGCTTTGCTGAAGTTGCCAACCCAACCCGTGTTGAGCAATTTCCACGAAGTTCTCGGTGCTCCCTCATCCTCTGTCCTCCCTCCATCCGCCCTCCCGGCCAACAAGGTCACCTCCCTCCCTTCCCCCACCCCGATCGGGGTGGTCAGCGCGGACCCCCGGCCCCGCGAGGTCATTTGGCCACTTCTCCCAGGAAGGACCTTGGGAAAGCCGACATTCCCCGCTCTCTGCCCCCTTCCAAACACTCTCAAATAAATAAATCTTGGGAAATGAGCTCGGCGTGTCGCAATCGCCCCGCCGAGGTTGAGCAAGGAGGGGGGGATTGGTTCCAGGATGGGAATTGGTGGCCAGAGGCACCCACAGGGGTGGGGGGTGGTCTCTGCCCCCTTGAATTTTCCCGTGAAAATCACAGCAGGAGCCCTCCAGGGGATGGATTTGTCCCTGCTGGTCCTCTCAAATATTTCTGAGGGRTTTTTGTGGCCGTGGCACCATCCCYGAATKTCCATTCTGGGTGGGGGGACGCTGTGCCCCCCACTCARCTCCTCTCCAAAGTTTGGGAAGGAGAGGGAAAAGGTTTCTGCAGGCCAACGGCAAGGGGGTTAAAAATAGACTTTTTCTAAATTAGCTTCCACCCAAAGTTCAAGAGGAAATCCAGGTTTAGCTGAGGCTACAAGAAAGAGCTGAAAATAATAATAATAATAATAATGACAATGATGAAAATAACAATGATGATGATGTTAATAATAACAACGGTAATAATAAAAAAAAAATATAAAAAGCGATTCCTGCGAAGGAGAAGGGAGGATGGTGAGCAGGGAGAGAAGGAGCAAAGCTGGAAAACAAAAGCCTTTGAGGAGGGTAATGCTTTCCAGCTGCAAAAATACAGCCCGGGAGAGGAGCAAGTGCTTGCGTCACCGCCAGCCCCCCGGCCCCAAACTGCCCAGTTCGGAGACCCCCGGCTGGACCAGGACCCCCTGCCCCCCCTGGGAAGTGTCAGGATGGGTGTGAGGGCAGCGTGGGGTGGAAWTTTGACTTTTTCTGGCTGTTTTCCCTTTGGATTCCTCTCGGAGCGTTGGTGAACATCCCCCATCCAACGGGCTGGACTCTGGATGGACGCGGCTGGAGCGTCCGGAGAACCACGGGAAAGGGGAGCTAAGATGCCCAAATCCCCTCAAAAGGGAGAATCTGGGGGTCTGCAGCCCTGGGTAGGGGGCGAGGGGCCCCCCGATCCGTTTTGCCGACGCTCCCCATCCGCCCCTGCTTGGATCGCTCCCCCGGTCCTGTGACTCTGACTCAGCCACGCAGGCGCCAGCCAAGACCTGCTTTTTTTCGGGAATTCTTGCACATCCCTTCAGCTGAAGCGTTTCTCGCCCCGGCAGGGCCCTGCCGCCCCCTCCCCACGTCAGAAGGGGTGGGTTTTGGGGATGCTGGGGGGGARGCAGGGGAAGGTGTGGGTGCTGGCTGTGACAGCAGGACTCCGTCTCGGGGGCAGAGYGTGCCCCTTGTCACCCCAATGTGCATTTTTAAGCATTTTTTTCCTCACCACAAACCCCTCTCTTGCCCCAGGAGCTGGTTTGGGGGGTCCTGGCTGGACCAGCAGCCCCACCAGTGCTGTGCCAGCTGGGCAGCGTGTCTGGCTTTGGGGTTGATGCTCATTTCTTGGCTCGGGCTGTTTCCACTTGTTTTTTACGAGCTGCCTCACGCCGGGTGGTGGCTGCGGCCTCACCCTTCCGGAGGGGGGTCACTGGCRGCATCGTGTCCCCATCCCCGTCCCCAGGGCCACCACTGGGACACCGAGGGCTGAGTGAGCTGGCCTGGAGGGCTCAGTGACCGGGGAGGTTGGGGTTTGTGCACCCCAAACTCTCGGTGTGGTCATCCCGTGGTCCCATCCCAGCCCGGATGGACACGGCGTGGCCAGAGCGAGCCCCSGGAGCAGAGGGGGGGTGGGGGGCATTGCAAAACCTCCTGGCTTGATTCATGTTTTCCCTGCCGAGCTCCTGCGTTGGTTAATAATTCAGCGGTGTCTGGCTCTGCTCCTCTAGGGCTGTCTGGGTCTCGCTGGCCTTGGGGTTTGGGGGGCTGCTGTGACCCTGATCCTGCTCCTCCAAGGCTGTCCAGGTCCTGCTGACCTCGGGGTGCTGGGTCTGAGGGGCTGCTTTGCCCCATCCCTGCTCCCCCAGGACATTCTGGGTACCTGTGACCTCTGATCCTTCTGACCAGGGCTGCTGCACCCCATCTTTGCTTCTCTGGGACTCTCTGAGTCCTGCTGACCTCGGGGTGCTCAAGTGAGAGGCTGTTGTGACCCTGTGTCTGCTCCTCTGGACTTTTGGGGTCTCCTCTGGGACTGTCTGGATCCCTCTGGGGCTCAGGACCCTCTGGTGATCCCAGAGCTCTCTGGGTCCCTCTGTCCTTTGGGGCTCAGGTCCCTCTGCTGACCCCAGAGCTCCCTGGGTCCCTTTGACCACTGGGGCTGAGGTCCCTCTGGTGACCCCAAGACATTCTGGGTCCGTCTGTCCTCTGGGGATCTGGTCCCTCTTGTGACCCCAGGGTCCCTCTGGTGACCCCAGGGCTCTCTGGGTCCCTCTGTCCTTTGGGGCTGAGGTCCCTCTGGTGACCCCAGGGCTCTCTGGGTCCCTTTGACTGCTGGGTCCATCTGACCAGTGCTGCTGTGTCCCCATCCCCACTCCACCCTGTCCTATGGGGCTGCAGCTTTGGGGTCTGGAGGTCTCRGGGGGCACTAACCCAAAGGACAACCTTCCAAAGTTCTGGAAATGTCCAGGAGATGCTGCCCCTCAGCCCGGCCTCCGGGGTGTTGAGCTGGTGGCGAGGCAGGAATTCGGGTGCGTTGGGTTGATCCGATTTAACCGGCTTTCCGTGGTTTAATTAAATAACTCACACGCTGCGTGCCAGGTGCTGCCTCTCACCTGCTCCGGGCCCCGGGGTGTCCCTGCAGCTTTGGATTAGCTCAGCTCCCGCCTCGCCCAGCGGGATCTGCCCCTACAGCCCCACTGCTGCCACGTGGCCCGTCCCAGTGCTGCTGTGGGA